TATACTTGAGATGATTGCACTCAATCAAGATGTGTTTTACTGTCAAAGGAACATGACAGTGAACACATTCTGGTTGAGGCTCTCGCTTCAAAATGAAAATATGAGTTAAGAAGGTACGACCAATACGAGAGCGACACAAAACAACCTCATCCCTCCTGTTGGTTCTATAGGAACCAGACAAACAAATCAGCACGAAAAGGTGCACTTGCGATATCAATAGGAATACCCTCAACATGTCCGATAATTCTCCTTCTAAGTTTATCATCTTTCGGCGAATTTGTGTTTGAAAACAGTCCTATGTAAATTACGACTAGATATCTATATCTATGTGGTCGAATGGATTTTGTTGTTATGCACACATGACTGACTTTTAAACTCGCCAGTGGACTAGCCTCAATCGTGTAGTGGAGTCACGTGACTAGCGCACGATAGAGCACTGCTGCATTGTTTATATGTAATTGACTTGCTAATTAAACGTCTACAACAAATCGCTTGACTTGGTAATCCTTTCGTCCCTACTGCTCTGTTACATCAATTTCTATTTTGTTTTTGAATTCTTGATTATTATATTCGTCACTGTAGATTTTAATTAGACTGAAAAAAATGAAATTGTGTTTTACATTCTACCGGTCTGCCCCGAACTAGGCTAATGAAAACGGGCATACGCCATACAGTGTGCTATGAGGGACATTTTTTTACGGAAGTCTACAACTACCATTCGTAATTTCTACTTAATTCTCCCTTTCAGAATAGCCTGGAGGCTCAGCAAGGCGGGGGGGGGGGAGGGGTCCATCAAATGGGCACAAAACCAGACCCAACTTTTCTAGAGTAATATGCCGAACTCAGTCAAGACATTCACCTAGTGAACATCTACGTCAAGTTTAAAGATTCTACCTCAATTAACAGCAGAGTGGTTATGTTCCAAAGTCTTGACCAATAAAATTGCTTATCGCTCCTTAGCCGAAGCAGAAAATCCTCACCATCGACCTTAGTCAAGGTAATGATATAATGAATCTATATTCAGAGTTTCGTCAATTTCACTTCATTATAACCAAAGTTATCATGCCCCAAAGCATCAACCAATCAGATTGCTTATCTCTGCTGCTTACCGTAAGTAGACATTGTTCACCATCGAACTCCATCAATGCATTCACCTAATGAACGCCTACACCAAATTTGAACATTCTACCTAAATTAGAAGGAGAGTTATTGTGTTCAAAGGTCTCGACCAATCAAATTATCAAACATGCTCATTATCGAACTTAGTCAAGATATTGATGTAATGAAACTATACACCAAGTTTCATCACTCTCACTTAATTAGAACAAAAGTTATCGTGTCCCATGCATCAACCAATCAAATTGCTTATCTCTGCTTACTCCATCAAGGCATTGTCGTCCTAATAAACACCTACACCACATTCTAGCTCAATTAGAAAGAGTTATTGTGTCCCAGACAGACGGGCGAACCAATTTTAATAGTCCCCGACTTCCTTCGAAAGGCGGGGGACAAATATATACAAATCATTTAAAAGATTAATTTAAGTATATGTGCGAGTTCTTAAAATAGAAAATTTGAAGAAGTTTTGATATATCTGGAAGAATATTGATATCGGCTTATAATTATTGGGGTCTTCTTTGGTACCTCCTTTATGAAGTGGAATAACTTTAGCTTGTTTTAATAAAGAAGGGTACATGTTATGATTTATTGACCAGTTAAAAAAGTGCGTGAGATTAGCAGAAAGTTGAATAGCACCTAAGCGGAGGAAAAAGTGGATTTATTGTATCAAGACTGACTACCTTGAAAACATCTAATTTTTGTAGGGAATTAACCACAACTGTTGTTTTCATAAAGGGAATTTTGAAAGAAACGCCATCGCGTACTTTAAGAGTTTACATAGGTTTTTATATTATTATCATCAAGCCTTACTAGGGCTATGACCTGTAAAGGCATTGATTATATTATTGGCTACGTTAAGAGAAGAGGTCATTAACTATACTGCTGTCCAGTGGTACGTGGGGACTGTTGTTACTTTTGTTAGTTGCTGAGTTTAATGCATTCCATATTTGTTTAGAATTTTTGTTATCACCGACCAGATCATGGAGGTACTTTGATTTAGATTGACGAATCATTGTTTGTAAACGATTTCAACATTTTTCATATTCGGTATCCTTTTTCTTACTTTTATGGAAATCACGCTGTCGCATTAAATTCAAAAATTCACTAGTGAGCCATTGAGGTTTGATAGCACTCTTAATACGTCTAGTTCTGATAGGAGCATGGTGATCAATTATTGGAGTTACTAATTCATACCAAATTTGAAGAGCATCTGTTGTTTTTTTTTTATCAGATAAATACTTTTAAAGTTAATTAAGCGTAAGTCATGCATGTAAATATCTTCAACGAAATTTCGAAAAGATCTGTATATATATGTTTTGGGGATCTTTACCCCTCTTTTGGACCAAGTTAAACAAGTTGGAAAGTAGTCTGATATAGAATAACATGGCACTTTAGTTTCAATATGGTTTGGGGCAGATACAATGACATGATCAGTTAATGTAGAAGTTGAATTTGTAACACAAACTAGGTCATTTCGGGATTAACATATGGTTCAATTTTTTGTTTCAATAATTCGCTTGCGCGTAGGGGTCGCAGTAACTAAATTTCCCCCTCTTTTAAACGCGTCTAAAACCTAACCGCATAGATCTAAAAGACGTCTTGTTTCCCAAGTTATCCTGCCAGTGCCACGTGGATTGAAAATCGGCTCCTGACCTTTTACCGTGTAGGTTACTTCGACTACAAACAGGATCATCCAGGTACCAATATCCGCTACCGAAACGAACTGGACAACTGTGATTGGTGAAGTCTCGATCAAAAGTTGAAAATGGTCTACCGTTTAGACTGTATGATCCATTGGTGAGTGAATCACCACAGTATATCAGTCCCTTATTGTAGCTTCCAATTGAAAGACGATAATTGTCGGCCTTGTTTGTGATTTTAACATTAGTATATATAATAGCCGTGCATATCACCGTTACCAATCTATTAGCTCTGCTACCCTTCCGCTTCTAAACCATGAGTGTGGTTTTCGGAATTAAAAGGGGGTCTGCATCCATATTAAAACCAAGAGTACTCTCCCTTGTATGATGAAGTGAAAGTGGTTGAATTATTTAAACCTACATTACGTAATGTTTTCTAAATTATTAATTAGACATTAAATAACTTATCCTGGCCATAATCAAGTCTCGATGGCATCGGATTTATCCGATATAAAATAGATTAGAACAGTTCAGCCATATTTTGATTAAAGCTAAAATGAAGGAGCGAGAATTAGCTTCGAACAACCAGTACGGTGGTTGAAATTATTGCACACGTCCTGTCAAACCTTCAAAGGCATAATATCTTAGCTCGCAAAAGAGTAATTTGAATGAAATTTTCAAATTATTCAATTTACATTTTCTATTTTTGAGCTATTATAGCAAGAATGGCCAGCTCTTTATCTTAATCTTACATAATCTTATCTTTAACTGGGTGTACTTTTATCTAATTTCGAACTATTATAGAAAAAATGGTGAGCTCTTTATCTAAATCTTACATAATGTATCTTTAACTGGGTGTACTTTTTATTTATTAATGCATTGATATACCGTATACCATAAACAGAATTACTTGTACATTAATCTATTACATTACATGAAAAGAATAAAAAGGCTACATTGTTAATGCCAGGGCATTTTACTAGATCATTAGGCTTTCAATAAACACTATATTACATACTTTATTAGATGAATAGAATGTTTACAGATTTGTACAGAATGATGTCCTGTCAACTGGGGAATAAAATACCATATTCATTTACCATAACACAAAGGAAATTGTCAAACAAAAGCTTGGAATTATACTAAACAAGAGAATCGAACGGTTTGCATGCATTATTAAAAGAAAAGAAATGAAAACGCCTAAAAGGCTGTTTGTAATGTTCTCTAACAATTTGTGTCAATGTTGTTTAAAAACACCCATTTGAATCAGACTTCAGAATACATACTCTAATTGAGACACGACAATGAAATGTTTTGAAATAAAATGCTGGTGAAAGTCCCACTTTTCTGAGAGAGAGAGAGATGGGGTTTAACGTCCACTCGACACAAACTAGGTCATTTCGGGACTAACATATGGTTTAATTATATTTCCATAATTCGCTTGCGCGTAGGGTTCTTTAGCAGTGGGAGGAAACCGGAGGACCCGGAGAAAACCCACGAGGTTGGACAGGCGACCCTACTCCTTGTCACGTACAACCGGGGATTCGAAACCACGCCAGTTGACTCAATGACAGGCCTTATGATACAGCGCGACCATTCGGCACCCCCAACACACTTTTCTGTTTAATCTAGCCAATGAAATAATGAAAACCTGCAGTGTGAATGAGAGAGAGTGAGAGGGTTTAACTTCCACTCGACACAGACTAGGTCATTTCGGGACTAACATATGGTTTTAATTTTATTACAATAATTCGCTTGCGCGTAGGGGTCTTTAGCAGTGGGCGGAAACCGGAGAAAACCAATGAGGTTGGACAGGCAACCCTACACCTTTAACGTACAACCAGGGATTCGAAACCACACCAATTGACTCAATGACAGGCCTTATGATACAGCGCGCACGTGCAAACCAATCGGCCATCCAACACCCCGTGTGTTGAGTGAAATTTGCCCGGAATGTATACCTTCACAAACTCCCAAGTTTCTAATAACTAGCTTCGAAGTATTTAATGAAAGCAGTGTGCTGTGTACATAAACCTTTTTAATTCATGCAAAAACAATCCCGCAGGAAATGAGAGGTATGCCCCTTTAAAACAAACATCGATTTACATATATAACTACAGTTCACCACCGTGTGTCACGGTTACTTACATTGCTTCTATAGGTTTGGTTATTGTTGTCTCTGATCTGGGAGTCTTCCCGGTTTTAGACCATCGTTGGTAGAAGATAGGTTACGTACATACGTCCATCATTCTTGTTGGGAAGCTTGTTTAGGCTACTTTGTGATTTAACAATGATCTAACACCATGTCCGTCAAGACAGGTCATTTATGTTTACTGGTTCTTTGCGCTACCTTTTCAACAACTGTATGGTGTGCCGATTTCAAGGCTCTCTACACTCAAACAAAATTGACCGTGGAATTGGAAAGTTGCACAAATAGGAGCTACAACGAGCAGATTCAAAATACACACACATCAACTAAGATCCGATGTGGTCAGTTGTGTTCATCTGTTGAAGACTGTAGAAGATTTATGTATGATAAAGAAACCAAATCGTGTAGTTTGTTCAAGTTTGGTGAAAACTGCTTAACAACCGGTGCCGTGGAGAAAAAGGTTTGTTATAAACAGGTAGGTCAGAATTTATTTTGTTGGCAAAATAGTTTCGTTTTTCTTTTTTCAAACTATATTTCAGTGTCGGTCGGTCATTCAACAATGGGCTTTTAACCGAATATTTTCTAATTTTGTGTGAAGCATTGTGGTTACGAGGAGACGACCTTTATCGCTATTCAGCGCTCCAAAAGTCCCCGTTTCCGGACATCTTACTAACGAGACAAAGGCTGTAGTTTGTAGTGGATTTGTTTTCAAACTTGGTATGAAGCATCGAATCCTATCTAATTGAAATTCAGCTTTCCACGCCATTCTGTTCCAGAATTACCCTCACCGTCTCCAAAAACCATGTTTACACGATACTGTCTAGAAATGTGACATATTGGGGCCAGGAGAGGATAACCCCTATCGAAATTCCGCTTTGTACGACCTTCAATTCCGAACAAACTGTGAACTTTACTAACATGTTAATGAATAAACTTTTCAAAGGGATTTTTATATATTTTCGTAATTGGTGTGAAGGTGTGTGTGTGTGTGTGTGAAGGGGTGGTGGCTTTTGTTTTAAAAGCTGATTCAAAGTCAGATGATGCGAATGACGAAGTTAGGTGTTATTCCGACATCGACGGATTGCAACTGCCATATCGAAATTTGAATTGACTGGAAATGAGCAAATTTGTGTGTCGTACTGGGGCTGATTATTGCACGCATACATTTCTAACGTTTAACAATCTGTCGTTCATAAAAGTTGTAATATAAAGCGAATCAAAAAGTTATCTCTTTAAAAAATTGAGCTCCTCACAAACTTTGACATCGAGAAATACAAAAATGGAAGCTAATTACGTCACTTCACCTTTCAGGATAGATCATTTCCTACAAGGGGGTGGACACAAGGTGTGTGGCTTTTTTACAATCTGGTTAAAACACAGACCCTATTTCGTTTTATTTTGTATAGTTCAAGTTCCGTTTAACTTGTCTTTACTACACTGGGATCTGGAAAAGCTAATATACAACCCGCGTTCTGGTTGATGTGGGGGATTAGCTAATGAAACGGAGTGTTGCAGCGAGTTCTTAGCGTGCGATACACGGAACTGTGGGTTTTCTACTAGAAACATCAACGCTGATTGGTTAATCAACTGCCTGGCGTCATAGGGTCAAAAGTGTAGTCAGTTATTTTGTTTCCGTCTTGTTTTAATTATGTGATTGATGAACTAAAGCAGTCCTGTCAAGGAATCTCACGGTTCTATTGTAGCCAAGGTAAATGCCGATGTATTTTACATTTCGCTCGGAATAAAAAAAATGTGGCGGAGACCACTGAATTAGTATACAACCTTAATTCGAGTCTGTTATATATTATTATAAATTCATTCATCGATAAATGCCAACAATTATCAACAAATCATACCTCCACCGTCCATCGGTTTAATTATCGACAAATAGTTTCATTTTTCCATTTCACTTCGTATATTTCCGTTATGCAAGAACTGTTTAGAATTCTATAATCGTTCGTCTCCGTAACACAAATAGAATTACGAAAATCCCGTACGATTGTACTCTCAATTATTAACTATTAGTCAAATGGTCGACCCAATTTTGAAATCCATGACGAATATGGAATTTTCCTATAGCTTTGCGTAGATCGCAATCATGGCTTAGCCAATCAGCATTTTGAATTACATTACCGTATAAGCTCCCGTTCCATATAGTGTATTGTATACTATACAGATGTAGTGAAAATGGTTAAATTTGGCGCGAAACTTGCATAGACGATAAACGATGATTCGACATCCTGAACTATTCTATCACGAGTGTGTCGATTTCGGTACATGTCGAATAAAAAACAACTTAATTCATTCGGGAATATTCTTGGATTAAATATGGAAATTATCGAGTAGCGTTAACCTCTTTTCATAGTTTTTGTAGAAATCATAAACTTTCAAAATTGATTATTAACCATGGAACATGCGGACTAGACTCCGTTATGGAATACGGACTTTAATAATTAAATAAAGCGTGTTTGTTTATAAAGGATAGCTACTGACAAGAATGTAATTTATAAAAATATATATATCCCGACATCTGAATACTACGACATTCTGTGAAAACATCATTTTCATGTCCCGATTTATTTACTTATTACTATTCTGAAAAATCCCGAATTGTAATCCGTGGTATTTTCAGGGTGAATAACATTTAGTTGACTGACAATTAGAGAGGGGTTCACTAGTCTGGCGCCATAAGAAAAACTATAAATATGGGTATCAATAAACCTAACCCAACCCTAGCCCTAATAATAGATATCGATGGACTAATGAACCCTAAACCTTACACAGCCTTGACCCTAATAATAGATATCGGTGGACTAGTGAACCAGAAGACTGGTGAGAATTCCCCGACAATCAATTGTTTCAGAATTAATCTCAAATGCTGCCTTCGTGTATTTTTGCTGCCAAAGCCCAAACGATCAAAACGATTCCGCTTTGTTTTGATTACAACACACGTGTTTGTTACAATGTGTCTGTCTGTATTAGAAACGAAATGAAATGGGGTTTGACGTACTGTTTTGCTTCTAAACTGGGCTAATGAAGACAGGCATACGCCATACAAGGTGCTATGAGGGAAATTTTTCCCGGGCAGCGGCGCTACGGCCTACTCTTATATCGAATTCCAACTGCCAAGGGATCCTTTACGTGCACGCCAATTTGTACACGGGACCTCGGTTTTCCGTCCCATCCGAACGACTAGACAGCTGTCCTTGTCAGGCCCTCCGTCCTGTATCACTGACAAGGGGAAACCACGCCGGAAAATCTGTATGGACTTTCTCGGCCAATGCAGTGATCGAACACCCGACCTCCAGACTTACCCACTTAGCCACGTGATCCCCGTCTATATTCTAACACAGTCGATCTTACATGTGGTGTACCACAGGGATCAGTATTGGGACCAATTATTTTCTGTATGTACACAAAGTCACTCAGCAATCTTCTCATTAAAAAGGATCTAAATCACCACTTTTATGCTGATGACTCTCAGATCATGGACTTTTTCCTCCCTGAACAAAATAGTCAACTATCTTGTTGGGAAAAAATTGAAACATGTGTGACAGATGTAAAAAGCTGGATGACAAACAATATGCTTAAACTAAATTCGGACAAAACAGAACTGTTATTGATCGCCCCTACACGCAGACTACATAAGAGCGACATAACCCATTTAAAAATTGAACAATCTTACATCAATCCATCAAAATACGTCAAAAACCTCGGTGTTATTATGGATACGAATTTGTCTATGGAAAAACACATCAGTTTTCTGTGTAAAACATGTCACTACCACCTTCGGAATATTGGCTCAATACGTCATTTTATAACATCAGATGCTGCAGCTACCCTCGTCCGATGTCTTATCCTCTCTCGCCTCGACTATTGCAACAGTGTGTTATCTGGGATTACCAATGAGCAAACAAAACGCCTCCAACGTATACAAAACTCAGCAGCCAGACTAGTCTCAAGAACCAAAGTCCGTGACCACATATCTCCAGTTTTATCCTCTCTTCATTGGCTTCGTATTAATGAACGTATAGAATTCAAATTGTTGTGCCTAACTTATCAAGCTGTTTATAAGACTGCACCTGTTTATCTTCAAGAACTTGTTAACGAACATTTACCAGTCAAAAACCTTCGATCTAGTAACACTTGTCAACTACAATTACCAACATACAATTTAAAAACTTTTGGAGCAAGAACATTTTCATATCAAGCTGCTTTCCATTGGAATAAACTCCCAACTTCCTTAAAACAGTGTCCGTCCCTAGCAAGTTTTAAATCATCACTGAAGACACATCTGTTCCGTCGCTATATGTAATGAGATGACACAGTATATTGTTCAGACTTTGCAGAATTGACTTGAGCGCTATGAGCATACTACACAGTGTGGAATAGCGCTATATAAATGTTATTATTATTATTATTATATTAGAATTTTACGTCCACTTCCACCATAGGTGATATCGTAGACAAACAAAATGTGTCAACCTTGGGCCCCCTTCAACATCTTAAGGTGGTTTCGCCCATCACGTGACATTTGCAGTGTTCTGATGAACTTGGCGAAAATGCAAGCAAAAATATTGACTTTCAAGAGACAACTTTTTTATTCGTTGGGATATGTAATTGTACAATGGAGTTTATTTAAAAGCGCGGTGTTTTCAAACACATGGGCAAGTTTTTAATAACCAAAGTTAATTAGTTTGTTTAAAATCGAAGAAATCCATTTAACATTTATGACAGTTTAGAAATGAAGTAGATTTTCCTTATTCATTATACTAACGAACCATACTAATGGATTCTTTGCATTATACTTATATGAATTCTTGGAATATTTTTAGAACTTTTTATGTGATGGTGTAAACTGTACTAGATGTCCTGTTGGTTACTATGGTGATCGTTGTCAACATATTATACAAGGTAATACAGAATCTTATCGAACTAAGTATCGACAATATGTCCACCGGTATGTATTATTAGGGTTAGGGTTCATTAGTCCACCGATATCTATTATCCTATTTCGTTTCGTTTTTATAGTTCAAAATTTCGTTTTACTTGTCTTTACTATACTTGGATCTGGAAGAGTTGTTATTTAACTCGTGTTCTGAATGGGATAAGCCAATGAAACGGTCTGTCACGGCGAGCTTTAGGCGTGTTTTGCACGGAACTGTGAGTAATCCACTAGTAACATCAATGCTGATTGGTTAATCAAATGTCTGACATCATAGGGTCATAAGTCGGTCTTTTGGCCCCTGGCGTGACCTATCGCTATAACTTGTCAGATCTTCATGTAGTGTAGGCCATCGAAAGTATAAAAAAACGAAACGAAATATAGATCTGTATTTTAATCAGATTGGATTTTCAACGGATTAAAAAAGATTGGCAGTTAATGATTTATTTAATAAAATGGATAACGAAGACTTGGTTTACTATCGTAACAACTGTAGAAATGATTATCGAGACTCAACTATTCTCTAAACAGCCCTAACTTAACTCAGAATGATGTAATTTGACTGAAATTTTCAACATATTCTCGTTTTATAGTGTTTTGTTTAACTGTTCTATAGAGAACTGCCAGCTCTTTATCTAAATCTTACATCGTTAATACAACCCAACTGGCTTTGGGGAAATATCTTACCGGGTCCGTGAAAAGGACTGATTAGGAGAAATAATCTAATAAATGAATTACTTCGTTTTCCCTTTATGGTCTAAAATAATAAATTCGTAAAACATTGATGGTGGGGACAAGGGAGACTTGACTAGGGTTCCACTGTCACTTTTGCCAGCCCAGCACACATTGCCTTAGGTGTTGTAAAGTAACCAGTATTACTTGTAAGTAAGACATTATTTGACGCAAATTGCTCTCCACTGCTTAAATCGTGGGATCATCCTTAGGGTATAAGGAATAAGTGTGCAAAGTTTCAAGACGATCCATTAAGAAGTGCGCCCTGTAGGCGACCCCCTCTCACAACATACACACAGAGACATGGGCGAGGGCATTATACGTCCACATTATGAATGTGGACATATAAAAATAATAAACTGATTATAAAACTTACAACGTTGACAGTGGGGACAAGAGAGACTTGCCTAGGGGCCCACCGCACATTGCCTTAAGTGTTGTCAAGATGCTTAGCAGTAACCAATATTACTTATAACCAAGACATTATTTGAAGCAAATTGCACTCTACTGTAAAAGTAGTTTCGATCCTTTTGGCTCTATTTTTAAAATTATCGTAACATCTCTGTTAAAAACTCAAATTACAGGAGGTTGTATAAGAAACTAATTTTAAGTCCATTTGAGAACAAATACGTCAGGTCACGCCTTGTCACGTCAACAATCACTTTACAGAATGAACTATTGACTATAGGGAGCCACGGTGGCTAGGTGGTTAAGACGCTGGCTCGCTAGCCTGGAGGTCGGGTGTTCGATCCCTGCATTGGCCAAGAAAGTTCATCTGGATTTTCCGACGTGGTTTCATCTGTCAGTGGTGCAGAACGGAGGGCCTGACAAGGACAGCTGTCTAGTCCTTCGGATGAGACGAAAAACCGAGGTCCCGTGTATACATTGGACTGCACGTAAAAGATCCCTTGGCAGTTGGAATTCGATATAAAAGTAGGCGATAGTGCCGTTGCCCGGGCTAAAGTTCCCTCATAGCACACTGTATGGCATATGCCCGTCTTCATTAGCCCAGTATAGGAGTAGGACGTTAAACCCCATTTCATTTCATTTTTCTATTGACTATAGTAACAACCAATACCTATTAATGTGGAAAACACTTATTTTGTATTCTTAATAAAACCGGAAGTTATACTTCAAGACCAACCTTTTTGATATTAGTTGTTAGTAGACGTCAGGGCCATGATATACTATTCAAAAAAAGTAGGGGATATTTGATTTTGGGGGCATAATACTAAAATATGCAAATGACTACGAAAAAAGTCACTATAGAACCTAACAGAAGAAACATTTCCAGTTACATGTGACGCCCAAACGCACCAATAGCTACCGCATGGAATGCAGGTGATGCTTGGGATCATCATGGGGGTCCAACCCAAGATTTGCACGACTCTGACTTTGAATGTTACAGTCATTGTGGCATTGAATTCCAGGGTGGAAACATCAGTTTAATTGTTTTAGTGACCAGAAAACAAATTTTGATATGCGTCGGCTTACCCAAAATGAAAGGTTACGTGCCCTTGGCATGCTACAGATCGGCACAACACAGGCGGTTGTGGTGCGGACGATGAATGTTTCTCAGTCTGTCATAAGCAGGCTATGGTCCAGATACCGTGATACACAATCTGTACAGGACAGACCACGCTCAGGTCGACCAAGGGCGACAACTCAAGCCCAGGATCGATTATCCGTACCTTGGCCTTGAGAAATCGTGTCATCACAGCAAATCAGATCAGCGCTCGTCTTCAAACAGACACTGGTGTGAGAGTGAGTGGCCAGACGATTCGGAATCGACTGCATAGGGGTCACCTTCGCGCCCGACGTCCTCGCGTGATCCCTTGTTTGAGAGATCATCACATTCAGGCAAGACGTCGTTGGTGTAGGGATCGTCAACACTGGGATAATCGACGCTGGAGCAATGTGATGTTTTCAGATGAGTCAAGGTTCACTGTTGATTTTTTGGACAGACGTAGGAGGGTGTGGCGTCGTCGAAACGAGCGCTTCCAAGACGTTAACGTCATCAGACATGATCGATTTGGGGGTGGTTCTGTTATGGTGTGGGGAGGCATCACTGTTGCTGGAAGAACGGCTTTACATGTTGTTGCAGGGCGTGTTACAGGCCAGTACTACCGGGACAACATCTTGGCAGTCCATGTTGTGCCGTTCGCACGACGTCATGGCCGCCGTTTCATCTTCCAGGATGACAACGCAAGATGTCACAGGGCCAGGATCGTTACAGGTTACCTCCAACAGAACATCACCACATTACCTTGGCCAGCACTGAGTCCCGACCTCTCCCCCATCGAGCATGTCTGGGACATGCTTGGACAGAGGTTACGTGAACGTCAACAACGTCCTGCCAATGTCCAAGAACTTGCTGCTGCGTTGCAACAGGAATGGGACAATCTGGACCAAAATGACCTTAGACGTCTCATTAGGAGTATGCCACGTCGGATCAATGCTTGTTTGGCAAACAGAGGAGGATTTACCCGTTACTGACTTGGTTGTGATGCTGTGGTAACTTTGCTGTTTGACCCCGGGTATCATTTTACCCTTATAATGGTCAGTCTGTGCCTTACTTAGTCTAACGATCATTTGGAATAAATCGATGAATGTGAACTTCATTTCATTTTGTCATTTGTTTCTTCGTCAGTTTCATTAGGTGACTTTAATAACACTTAAAAATCAAATATCCCCTACTTTTTTTGAATAGTATATATACAAGGGTCATTGAACGGTTAGGTCACCAGATAGTAGGTCAAAACCGGTAGTTAACAAAATCGAAATTCAAATCTCGGCTCCCTAAGAATTGTTGCCATCTGGAGTAGGTTAAAAACAAAAAAAGTTTTTAAAAATCGGAATCAAAATGGCGGCTGAATATCGATTTGAAGATTTTGTATACGCCCACATTTTCGTTTGGACGTATATTGTCGTCGCCCCTGCCCGTCCGGACGTCCACAATTTGTTTGTGGACACTCTACAGGTCACAATTCTTATCCGATTTTGACGAAACTTGAATTATGGCCCTTGATTGAACAAAAAATCACAATTTTAGCTTGTGGTCCCTGTAGATTTAAAAAAAATGTGTGAATATGTCACCATTACACACTAAGATCTTGGATCTATTTGATAATCACGGATACCCAAACTAAACTTCCTGGATTATGGCCCCTGATTGTTCGAAAAATGGCATTTTTAGCTTGTGGATTCTCTAGAGGTCACAATTTTTTTCCAATTTTAAAAACCGTTTACATATTTCACCATTCCATCATAATGAAGCTTGAATTCGAATTTCGGGAAAATCAAAATGAAACTGCCCAACAAAATGGCCGCTCTTTGTACGCAAATTGTGTAAAAGTATGCAATACAAAGGTTGTCAACCCTCTAGGGGTCACAATTTTTATCTGATTCTGATGAAACTTAAAGCATATCTTTATATCCCAAAGATTTCAGACCATAACTTTCTGGATTATGGACCCTGATTGTACAAAAAATCTCGTTTGTTTTTAGCTTGTTCTCTATCCATCTCCCGAAAATGTGGGCGTATCCTGCCTGGCAGCCGCTGGTTGTAAAATCCAATATGGCGGCCAAACAGTTGGAAATGTTATTGAACAAAGTCTCTGAAAATGAGTGATAATATCTGGGGCTAACACCACGATGTCATTTTTAGTCTATTTTTAAAATGGAGAAAATTCTTCATGATCGCGAAAAACCGGAGTGCCTCGGTAATTTCCGGAAGTTTTCCAAAGCCGCCACAAGAGTCATTTTAATAAAAATATTCAATTTTGAACGCATCAATGTGTTCCGTATTCCTGCCAAGTTTCACATTACTACCTCAAATACTAACGGAGATGCGCCATTTTGACTATTGTCCAAAGCATCCAAAAATGAAAACCCGACGAAATGAAATGAAATGGGGTTTAACGTCCTACTGTTCTGCTCCTATACTGGGCTAATGAAGACGGGCATACGCCATACAGTGTGCTATGAGGGAAATTTGCCCGGGCAACGGCACTATCGCCTCCTCTTATATCGAATTCCAACTGCAAAGGGATCTTTTACGTTCATTCTAATGTATACACGGGACCTCGGTTTTTCGTATTATCCGAAGGACTAGACAGCTGTCATTGTCAGGCCCTCTGTTCTGCACCACTGACAAGGGGAAACCACGTCGGAAAATCAGGATGAACTTTCTCAGCCAATACAGGGATCGAACACCCGACCTCCAGGCTAGCGAGCCAGCGTCTTACCCCCCCCCCTTCCACAAAACCCCCCCGGTATATGGACAACCACATCTGCGTTGGCAAAACGTTTGCATCATGTACAAAACGTTTGCACCATGTACATTTTTGGCTGAAAACTATTGACTAAGTTCCGAAACACGTAATTAAACTTTTCAACGGGTGCTATTTTGAGACACCAAGGTCAAAAGCTCAGCAAACGGATTTTAAGTGTCATGTTAATATCCAGACTTGACTTTCTATGAAAAATTGAGTCACAACAATGATATATATATATATATCAATCCAATCTACTAGAATGGATGCGTTATACAGACATAATCAAAAAATATTTACCCCAACATTATTCAAATCAGTCAATTTTACATAATGGTCAACTTGTGTTTACATTGATTTGTATCGATGTTATGTAATCTGTATGTCTCGTTGTCAGAAGGCATTTGAAATCTATTTAATTTGTATCAGCCACGTCCATGCCAAGTTACTATCTAATCTACTTTTTTGTATGAATATTTTTAATTACCTGCCTAACACTGTTCAGTCGTATTTGCTGCGACATAAGCCAGGCTGTAAAGTCTATATTATGTAAACCCAGTACAGTCTGGAAAATATTTTATCGGTTATCATTGATTTTCTCTTCAGATCTCCGATAAATCCAAATTTTGAACAAAAATATCAAGATAGGTTTTAAATTGACCCAGTGTGGGAGTTGCCCCTTTTCTCAAACCCATGCTTTAGCTATAAATAATGACGGATGTCGTTCATGGGGCGAAGTTTTCGTGGGGTTATCCTTATGAATTAAGCAGATCAGTCATGACCCATTGTGATGCATGTATCGGTGCTTTAGAATAAATAAATAAATGCTTATGATACTACCTCCCATTTGTTATCAATCTATGTGTTTCAATGTTGTATCTATGGCATTACCACTAACTTGTTTGTTTCAGATTGCTCCGAAGGATCCACATTGGATTTGTACCCAGAGCAGGTCATGTTGTCATTTATTCAACCATCGGTTAATGGTCCTATTATAGAGGTTATATGCAATTTCAATGCCAAGGGGTGGACATGGATCCTGAATCGAGACCTGGATTGTCTAGAAATCGATTTTAACAGAACTTTTGATGAATATTCAAAAGGGTTTGGAAATCCATTAGGAAATTATTTTGTTGGTTTGGATAATATCCATAATCTTCTTCGACTCAATGGTCAAATTACTTTGAGTCCAGTATTTAATTTCTTTGACAGTCCTTTACGCAAAGGTTTCTATAAATATATTGAAATCTCCAACAAGACAGATAATTATCGTCTTTCAATTGGAAGCTACAACAATAACAGACCAGAGTACTGCGGTGATTCACTCACCAATGGATCATACAGTCTAAACGGTAGACCATTTTCAACTTTTGATCGAGACTTCACCAATCACAGTTGTCCAGTTCGTTTCGGTAGCGGATGGTGGTACCTGGATGATCCTGTCTGTAGTCGAAGTAACCTACACGGTAAAAGATCAGGGGCCGATTTTCAATCCACATGGCACTGGCAGGATAACTTGGGAAACAAGACGTCTTTCAAATCTCTACTGTTAAGATTCAAGCGCAGTTAAAAAGAGATGGAAATTCAGTTTCTAAGGGTCCTCCGGTTAATCTCGAAATCTCCCCCCCCCACTCTTTCTCGTTAGCTTTTGATTCCAAGGATTTTAATAAAATCGGTGAAAGGTAAAAGGAATTGTGATATGGGAAGGTCTAAAGCAGAAAGCCTGAACAGTCTCTGGATTACAACTTATGTAATGTCATCGCTGAAATTGTTGTTTCTTATATTGCCGTTATATAAACAGGGTTTTTTAGAATAACATGGTGTTCAAACTTTTATTCATTATGGCAAAGAGTGAAGTTCACAACGTAAAATAAACAAAGGAAGTGAAGACCAGAGTGAAGACACATGATTGTGCCCCGATAGTTCCACAATTACACACTGTACAAGAACGAACACCATATATCCATAACAAAATGACAATTATGAAAATGTTCCTCCGGATATTAATCATTCAATATTCAACACCTTACGAACCTTCATAAATCAAACTAAACGATTCAAATTATGAGTTCTACCTTACGTAATCCTTGTATAGAATTGAACTATAGTAAAATGCTTACTGCCTGCTTTCCTCGACACTGATGACTACCCCGCACCATCTTTTTTGTAATTTTTTTTGTTCGATTATGTATATGTGTGTATATATTCTCGATATCTTTCATATCCGCTTTATTATTAATACATTATTTTTACTTTGATGTCCGTAGCAGTTATATCTCACAACAACCTGTCATGACATCATCATAGGTTGATATATTCGTTCATATGAACCGCTGATGACGTCATGACAGGTCAATATATTCGACTCGTATCAACCGCTGATGACTTAGATGATCGAAATAATACAAAAAAAAAACCCCACAGAAATAAATTTTTATTCTTTTAACAATTAAAATTTGTTATGGTACAGATTCTAACATTCAGGACCGAAATAGACGGCGTACTTATCGACATACATGTATTTAGATCGGTTATCCATGTCTAAGACATCTTTCAGAATTTTCTTTTCGTCCACATTGCGATTATTTCTCCACACACTACAAGACTTGAAAGTATTTATCGCCCAAGAGTTCCTTTGTAAAGTATTTTTGGGTACAACCCACTTAAAACAGTCGGTCAAATCCTTCTCTGAATATACCGAAAACCTTCAATCATGGTTCACTGTCAGGTTTCTTGGAAAAGAATGCCTTTTGGTCCAAATTTTCTACAGGCTTTGAATAGATCCTCGTCGATATTTGCATTCACATCTATTCCATCGTCAATATGTTGGCTAAAAAGGATTGATTATTCATCAGACTTCGTATTACTATCCATTTTGTTTTTGCTTTCAATTCAATAGTCCAAAATGGCGACGTATAAACAAAAACATGCACGTAATTACACGTGATTACTTCGGTAATTTTCGCTATTTGGCGGAAACTATCGAGCAATTATCCAATCATTGTTGCCTTTTTATGGAAGAGTCCATTAAATTTCAGGGTGAAATGGCGTTGTATATGTCGGATATAAACCTACTCTCCCTCGGATTGATATGGTAGAGAACGTGGCAAGGAGTAGGGTCGCCTGTCCAACTTCGTGGGTTTTGGTCCGGGTCCTCCGGTTTCCTCCCACTGCTAAAGACCCCTACGCGCAACCGAATTATTGAAATAAAATTAAACCATATGTTAGTCCCGAAATGACCTAGTTTGTGTCGAGTGGACGTTAAACCCCATCTCTCTCTCTCTCTCTCTCTGTCTCTCTCTCGTGACTCAGTGAGTAAGACGCTAACTCGGTAGCCTGGGGTCTCAAGTTGGCCATGGAAGTTCATCGGGATTTTCCGGCTTGGTTTCCCCCCTTGTCAGTGGTGCATGGCTGACGGCCTGACAAGAACAGCTGTCTTATCGTTTGAGACGAAAAAACGTGGGCATATATATATACACATTGATGTGCATGTTAAGGAACCCCTGATAGATGGATTTCGATATAAGAGTAGAGTAGATCAAAGTGATGCTGTCCAGGTAAATTTGACCTCATATTATTATTACAAAATTTATATAGTGCCCCTTCCCCAGATGTGTTCAGGGGTACTTTACAGAATAACAAAAACATACATTCAAAGAGCAAAATCCACCAAAAAGATAAAAAATGCATTAAATAAACAAGTATTTCTAAAAATACATACAAGAAAGACAACAGACAATAGTGGTTAAAATTTGTTATATGCCAAGTTTTATACTTTAATGCCCCGTAACTAGAAAGGTTTAAAGGTGTTTTTTTTACTGTAAAAGTAATAATTGATATAATTCTATCAAGTCTTGACGTCATCACAAGTTAATTAATAAGAGTTTTTGTTGCCTCAATAGTTTCGTGTGTTTCCAATATTGTGAATATTAAAATAAGAGATATAGAGATACAATACAGTGTGAATTAAGTCCATTATCATCAAATGCCAGTGAATAAAGTATCATCGATCTTATATGACAAACACATTAATTTACGAATTATACAATCTTTTTTGTTCGGTATAGCAAAGAACGTTCTACTGGCCGAGATTTGATTGCATTTGAAGCCAAAGATGTAACAAACAAACCAGGGCGTTTCTAAGCAACGGTGGAACAGAGAGAGAGAGAGAGAGGGAGGGGGGGTAACGTCCACTCGACACAAATTAGGTCATTTCGGTACTTACTAACACATTGTTCAATTTAATTTCAATAATTCGCTTGTGTGTAGGGGTCTTTTGCAGTCCGGAGAAAACCCAAGGGGTTAGAAAGGCGACCCTACGCCTTTTCATGTACAAGCGGTTAATCTAAACCACGCCACTTGACTTAATGACAGACCTTCTGATCCAACGCGCACGCATTAACCACTCCACCCCCTCAAATCGATACAGTATAGTAAGGCGTTAAACCCTATTTCATTTCATTCCATTTGCAACGTACAATATAACAGTGGCGTACATCTAGAGGCTATCACTTTAGCTGTCACGTCTTCGACCCTCTTCAATTCATTTTTGGTGTACAGAATATAGAATAATGTTACATAATGACAGATGTCAAGGGTACGTTATCGTGCCATCTTGACACATGAAAGCGGAAATGATTTTAATAGCCACCTATCTGCTATCGACACCCATCTGGGGCAGAACACCGTAGACCCTTCTCCGAAGGGAGGCGTATCCACGGTACCGTTGGCCGTGGACCGTCAAGTGTTGGTACATCGGCGCCCCCAGTAGCCTTTGCCCCACAACAATTGTGGGTTAGCTACAGGCCTGTCCATGTTGTCCAGATCGCCATCATAAGTCGTTATCTTAATATAAACTTACGGCTGGCCTGTAAAGCAATCTGTACTGAACGCATGATGTAATATAGCCATCTGCATAATCTCTTCGAAAGGGATTATAAGCAGGATTCATGTAAGTTAGTTGGGAATTGGCACCCAAGGGTGTCAAGCCAAACTATTACCACGGCTCCCTCAACGCAAGCTATAATTACGGAGTCTTAAGTTTTGTAGATGATATGTTTGAAGAAGAATAAAAGTATCATATGAAGTTAAACCAGTGTTGTCATCAAGAATCTGACTAAAAGACCCCAAAATGTAACAATAACAATAATTTATTTTTGATGTACAGAATATAGAATAATAATAATTTATTTTTGATAAAACGATTTACATTAAGACACAATTTCAAACCGCTGTACAAACATGACAATTTAATTTTCAAATCTACATTAAAAGTATTGAAGATAGTAAATAAAAGCAACAGCTGTGACACTATCCTGTGTCGCGGTACCAAATAAAAACAGACTGTGACACTTTCGTCTAGGAATTTCTTTGACTTCACGTTTTGGGATCAATTATTTAAATCGTCAATTAACTGACCCTGGAACACCATTTATGTTGTTACTAAGTTTATATAACAAATACAGAAAACTAGAAGGGTTAAATACAGGAAAACTACAACATATATTATAGATACTTTAGGTCTGAGTTTGAACATCCTTTATAACTCTGACTTAATGGCTTAAACATCATATTTTTTCTTTATCCCAGCCTCTCGGCTGAGGCGGTTGTGGGTATGACGTTCCCCTAGGAACTCACGGATTATGTCTCCTCTGTACGGTCTCATCATGATGTCTTCACCATAGCCTCTAAGCCAAGGCGGCCATGATGTTCCCTCTCGAACCGCTCTTTGGTGTCTTCTCTACAGCCTCGCCATGATGTCTCAGAGTAAATGAAACCCGCTCTCTCCTATATAGAAGTATATTGCGTCAGCTATTAGGGCAGGACAATTACCATTTTTGGGTAAGTGCTTCGTATAGGCACCTTTTTATTAATTAATCTGTGCACGAGATGACTGGACGATAGTGCCCTACTTCCAGCAATCGATACTGGCATAACTGTCGGTAAGTAAGTCTAAGATAGTAGTAGAATAATGCAAGCTACTTCATTACCTTAGTTTTCGTCACGCATCATGTAGGTAACGAATTTCTATATGAAACAATGATTAAGAAGCTAAAATAAATATTTATTATCGCCCCTGATTAATAAGAGAACGCTAGATCGGAGACGGTCTAGTACATATGACGTCAAATGTGGGTTAGGGTAAGGGATAGACCTATGGTTAGCGCTAGCCCTGTTTACATCTCGAGACGTGGACGAAATCTGCAGCCCCAAATCCAACCCACATATGACGTAATATGTGTTAGACCGTCTCCGATCTAGCGTTCTCCGATTAATAAAAGTATCATGGCTGTTATTCAATACATATATATATCGCTATCTCTAAAATTGGGGTATTAATCTTAACAGTAGAGAACTGAAAGACGTCTTGTTTCCCATGTTATCCTGCCAGTGCCATGTGGATTGAAAATCGGCTCCTGATCTGTTACCGTGTAGGTTACTACGACTACAGACAGGATCATCCAGGTACCACCATCCGCTACCGAAACGAACTGGACAACTGTGGTTTGTGAAGTCTCGATCAAAAGTTGAAAATGGTCTGCCGTTTAAACTGTATGACCCATTGTTTAAGGAATCCCCACAGTCGTTCGGCTGGTTATAATAATAGTTATCAATTGAAAGACGATAATTATCCATCTTGTCGGAGATTTTAAAATTGTCATAGAAAGCTCTAACATAAGTACCGTCAACAAAATGGAACGCTGGATTCAATTTAGTTTTGTTATGTAATTTAACAAGATTGTGGATATTATCCAAACCAATAAAATAATTTCCTAATGGATTTCCAAACCCCTTTGAATATTCATCAAAAGTTCTGTTAAAATCGATTTCCAAACAGAGTAGGCTTCGATGCAGGATCCGTGTCCAACCACTCCAATTGGCACCACATATAACCTCTATTATCGGACCATTAACCGATGGTTGAATAAATGACAACATGCTCTTATTTGGGAACAATTTTAGTGTGAATCCTTCGTAGCAGTCTGAAACAAAGAAATAAATTGATGGAGAGAGAGAGAAATGGGGTTTATTATCCAATCGACACAAACTAGGTCATTTTGGGACTAACATATGGTTCAATTTTTTTCTCCAAAATTCGCTTGCGCGTTGGGGTCTTTAGCAGTGGGATGACCCAGAGAAAATCCACGAGGCTGGACAGGCGACGCTACTCCTTGTCACTTACAACCGGGGAATCGAAACCACGCCAGTTGACTCAATGACAGACTTTATGATACAGCGCGCAC